TCCGTGAGGTTATGCAACAGGCCTTCTGTCATTCTAACAGCTCCATCAGGGCAAATAGATGCTTCATCTGCTCAGTGATGTATGTGCAAGCAAAGAGCTCCTCTGCACACATTCCTCGGCTTGGAAAACTCAGCTTTCACCTAGACAGCGTGTGTTGGCAGCGGGGGCCGACCTGAGTGTCCGTGTGCTGACTCATTTACAAGCATTTCTGTCTGCGTTACGTAAGGCCCTATTTAGAGTCTAGCTGGCAGTAGGGGTGGTGCGTGTGGATGGCGATTCCAAAATGATGCAAGACAGACTCTGATCTCAGGGGTCTGGATCCACCTTAGACACAACACCCACACGTGGCCCAACCTGCAAACAACCACAGATCCACGGCAGAGTGTAAAGTAAACACGCACCTGCTGAGGGCAAGAATCAGGGGGGGTTGAAGGCTGACGGCAGGGTGCTGGAAGAATGCCGGAACCACAGATGGAGGCCTTCTGGGGGCTGGAGCAATGTCACGGAGGAGGCCAGCGTCTATACATCAAGGGAGATACAACCATTATCCCCCCACGGCATGGAGGCCCACCTGGACCTCCTCTGAGTGTCATAACCTTGCCAAAGACCCCGCACGCCTTGTGCTGTCCTTCTGCCCACTGCTGGGCAGCCACATGATCAAACATGAACCTCACGGTCAGACACTGCCAGGGATACTGAGCCCACCTGTACCTCTCACTGCCCCTAGCAGGCCAAAGGCTGTACATGGGGGCATCAGAGTGCCCCTTGCCAGCACAACCTTGCTGAGGTTCTGCTGGTTATGCCTCCGTCCTAGCCCTGCCTGCATCTTATTACTATTTTTTTCCTTCATTGATTTTAGAGAGAGAGGAAGGGAGAGGGAGCGAGAGATAGAAACATCGATGAGAGAGAACATCGACTGGCCGCCTCCTGCACGCTCCCCACTGGGGATGGGGCCCACAACCTGGGCATGTGCCCTGACTGGGAATCAAACAAGTGACCTCTTGGTGCATGGGTTGACGCTCAACCACTGAGCCACACTGGCCGGACCCTGCCTGCATCTTAGAAGGGAGCTTTTTGGGTCCCCAGAGCCATAAAGGCTCCCAACCCCAGAAGCCAGGAATTCTCACTGTCCCTGCAGAGAACACTCAGGCAGGGTTGGTGCAGGCATGCCCACGGATGGGGCTGCAGTACACACACGCCAGCCAGCCATTCTGACTGTGGCCAGCCTGGAGGTCTGTCCCGGTCCTTGGATTCAGTGCTGAGGGCACGGATTATGAATGCTGGGCCTGGAGCAGTGTAGCTGGAGGGCAGGAGGAGTCAGCTGTCTTTCATCACAACTCAGACAAGGAAGGTCATTATCGAGGAATGTCGGGTGTGGGGATTGTGGGGCTCCTCTGGGCCTGTCTATCCTTCACTAGCGATTTTTCAAAAGACAAACAGAAGGTCAATTTATTCACGGACAGTGAGGTATACAATCACCACACGGTTTGGGGATACGCAGGAACCAGAAAGGTGCTCAGTGAGAAGGAAATTCAACTGCAGACGATCAGATGCACCAAATCACCAGAGGCATCGGGTCAAGGAAGACCAAGCAGCCTCCTTACCAGCCCAAGTTCTGAGTCCTTGGATCATCTCTGCATTTGGATTCGGCCAGAGCTCGGAATCGCTCAGAGGCAGCCCCTCTCATGACCACTCAAGGACTGAATATCACTCTGGGCAGTTGCCCACCCGCTGTTTTTGGAATGGGCTCATGGCCAGTTCTCTGGAAGAAACCTGGCCCTTAGGGATGATCTCAGCGTTTGGACTGGTACCTGTTTGGATCTGGCTCCTCAGTAAATGAACCAGGTAGATGCTGTGATCTGGCTTCTGAACAGAACCACTTGGCTCCTGAGCTTGGGGGGGGGAGGCATTATTTGGTTCTAGGTAACAGAAACCCTGCTGAACCTGGCTTAGTCAGTGAGGACTTTTATTGCCATTTAATAGGGAGCCCCAGGGGAGGGTGGGCTTCAGGTCCGCAGATATGGCATCTCAATGAGGACATAAAGTGTTCTTTAGGGGTTGTACCATTTTCCCCTTCATGCCTGAGAGTGTCTGCTTCCCTACCGTCTCACCAACAGAATGTGCTGTCAAACACTTGGATGTTTCCCAATCTGACAGGTGCAAAGCGGCATCACTGGGTCATTTTGATGTTAATTTGCTCTTATTTTGAGAGAAGCTGGGCATTTTTTTTTTTTTTCATCTGCTTTAAGAGCTACTAGGTTTTCCTTTTCTGAGATTCTGCGAACATGGTCTCCACCCGCGTTGCTCACGGGGGCGCAGGTTCTTTCTGTCTCTCTCCTCGCTGGAGCCAAGGTGACAGCCACCATCGCGGACACCGAGAGGCCCAGAAATCAGCAGGGCTGCTCTCTGTTGGTGGCTAACTTCATCCCAGTTCCCAGCCCCCTGCTCCCTTGCCTGTGTCTTCTAGAGATAAGAAGAGCTAAAAACTCACATTCCTCGTCTGCCTTGCGTCTCGGAGTGGCCATGTGACACTGTCCTGCTCAGTGAGGTGAAAATGGAAGAATGCAGGGGGTTTTCTGAGAAACTCCTGGCTAGAAAAGGGACCAGTACCAGTGGCATAGCCCCTTCCTTCCAGCCTCAACCCGGACAGAATGGCTGGAGTGGCTGCCTTCTCAACGCCATAAACCAAAGACAAAGAGGATCACAGACATGTTGATCTTAATGTTATTCCAGCCACCAAGCCAAGGCCAGACACCACCTCCCTTCAGACTTTTGCCCTGAGCTCATGAAATATCTTCACTCTTGCCCCAGCCAGTTGGGCTCAGCAGTTGAGCGTTGGCCTGTGGATCAGAGAGTCCCGGGTTTGGTTCCCGCTAGGGGCACGTACCACAAAAAAAAAAAAAAAAATATCTTCACCCTTAAACCATGGCTTGTCAGGGTGTGGATGGTGGGGCAGGGGTGTTCTGCTAATTGCTGATAAAAAAATTTCTAACTGACAGGATGTGGTTTTCTTTTAGGAGGGAGAAAACTTGTCCCTGAAATCATCCCTTAGTCTCCCTGGACTTCTCAGAATATTGGTCAGTTTGGATCACATGCCTTTTCCTGAACCAAGTGCCCTCGGGGGGAACAGATTTTCCTTAGGTCGGTGGGGTGACTCCTAAGGTGTGGGGGTCAACTTTCCCTGAGGCATATGAGTGCAAGGAAGAGAGGAGGCAACAGGTGGGGCATTTGAGCCTCAGGAACAACCTGGGTGTCACCTGCATGGACCACCTGCCAAATCACACTGCTCTAGGACTACGCCTGTGCACAGAGGTTTGCAAAACATCCCACCTGCGAGGCACCATGGTCGTTTAAACCACTAACAGCCAGTTACCTCTCTCAATGAGGTCAAACAAATCGTTATATTTCCTTAAAGCAAAAACAAACTTTCCTTCATAAATGAACAGCTCATACTCGCTTATACACTCCACAAGGACAGGGGTGTATCTTTCCTGTTTCCTGCGCTATCCCCAATCCCCAGCAATTGATGGAAAGTGTTGGCCAGGACAGAGCCTTCCGACTTACACCTGGAGACCCGCCTCCATCTTGACACCAGTGCATTTATTGGGGGGCTATGATAATTCAATCTGCTACCATCTGACCTCACCGGACAGGTATCTGCTCCGTATTTCCCCACCTCGACCACAAGAAACCAGTGTCATGAAGATCAAGAGGCGGGTCTGGAGCTGGGGCTGCTGAGCCCATTCTGGTTCCCAGGACTCACCGTTTCCTTTCCTGGGGCTGCCCACAACACCCCTTTCATCTTGCTCAGGCCTCTGGCCCAGGGTTTGAAGTCTCCACTTTCTTCTCTTTCAAAAGCAGGAACGGCCCGTCGACCCGCGCCAACCTCCCCTCTCATTTTCCATGGTAATTCTGCACAGACCGCTGGCAGCGGCTCAGCAGCCTCCTGCTCAGGAGCCAGGATATAACCAGTCCAGGCCAAGGGACTTTTCTTCAAGTAGCCAGGAGCTCACTGACAAACTCTCCAACCCACCTGGGACCAGGTGAGGGCGAGCTCCTTCCTGGAGCTGCTCACTCGCCCAGCCTCCTCTGCCAGGGCTGAAAGGCAAAACCCGGTCGCCTTCCATCTTCTGGGGCCTCCGCCAGCGTCCCTCCCTCGGCTCCTAGCAACAGGCCTGCTCTGTCTTTCATCTTCTTGCTCTGAACAGAACAAAAAGTTCCTTTCCATTGTCCTCCCTGGCAGTCTTCCACAACAGTTGTCTATTTCTCCCATTATTAAAAGCAATATACGCTCATTAAAGAGAATGGAGAACACCCAGGCAGATAGGAAGATGGAGTAAGGAAAAATAACTCCCTGCCCCATGACCTACACTCGGCGGAGTGCACACTGCCGTTCTGACAGGGCTCATTCGTCTTGGAGCGCCTTCTTTGGAAAATGTCCTTCTCAATCTGGGGTCTGTTAACCTTTTGCGGACCCTTCAACAGAACCATCAATGCGATGCTTGCAGAGATTCTGACCTTAGTTTCTTCATTTCTGAAGTTTCCATCTTTTCTATGTGGCTTTTATCATCACAAACAACGGAACATACGTGTCATGGGCTGGATTGTGTCCCTCCAAATCCGTATGTGGAAGAATTAACCCCCAGTACCTCAGAATAGGACTGCATTTGGAGATGGGGTCTTTTTTTTTTTTTATCCTCACCTGAGGACATTTTTTTGTTTTTTGTTCAGGTAGAGTGGGAGGGAGAGAGAGGAACAGAGAGAGAGAGAAACATCGATGTGAAAGGGACACATCGAGTGGCTGCCACCCGCACGACCGACCAGGGCCGGGGACAAACTGCAACCGAGGTACGCGCCCTTAGCGGGAACCGAACCCGGGTCTCTCAGGACCGCAGGCCGACGCTCTAACCGCTGAGCCAAACCGGCCAGGGCTGGAGATGGGGTCTTTAAAGAGTTTAGGAGAGCTGATTCTGGACTCACACTTACCCGAGCTTGGTGGTTCAAATCCCAGCTCCGCTGTTTTCTTCCTGTGTTTAACTTTTCTTATCTGTAAAATGAGGATCACAAAAGCATGGTTATGCCCAGCTGGCGTGAAAAGGACACAGTGAGTGGCTGCCTCCCGCATGACCCCAACCAGGGCCAGGGATGAATCACAACCAAGGTACACGTGCCCTTGACCAGAATCGAACCCGTGACTCATTGGTCTGCGGACTGACACCGTAACCGCTGAGCCAAACCAGCCAGGGCTTGACTATATTCCTTATACAATACTTCATATTCTTCTGACTAGTTTTTTTGTTGTTGTTTCCTTTCTTTGGAAAAAAGATAAATAAAATGTAGCTAGTAGAATTATTTTTTGCATCCGTGGCTTGTATCGTCACTGGAGGTCTGTCAGGCATGCTGGCTTAGAAAGACGCCTGGCACGGAGCGAGAGTAATTGTGTTTAGTGCCTGGCACATGGTAAGTGCTTATCAAGTGGCATTTTTTGTTCTGAAGACTTCTCACTGTGCCCTCTCTGTCCCCGCTTCAGAGATCTATGCCTGGAACGCATTGTCTGTTTCCCTGCCCAGCTTGTCCTATCCATCCGCATAAGGACTTTTGGTCTTTCCTGTAATCTTCCCATCCCCCAGACCTCTCCAGGGCTGTCTACGCGCACGTGTGCGTGCGTGTGCGCACGTGCACACACACACACCCCACTCTTGGCCACCATCATTCTCTGTTCCCTCCAAAGACCCTGCACATCCAGGCTTGGTCTGTGATGCTTCAACAGATGGACCGTTGCCAGAAGGGGCAGTTGGCAGGCTGCCAAGAGGTTGCCCAGAGCGGCCTTTACCCTGACAAATTCACTCCTGGGGCCCCCAGGTCTACCCTCAGTCTGGCAGCTGGTGGCGTGGAGTTCAGTCTCAGCTGCAGACTTGGATGCCTTGGTCTCGGGAGAGCAATGCACACACCAGATGGCAAGTTCTCAATGCAGTTAGCTGGGTGAGAACAGTTTTGTTTAGGAAAATATCTCGATCAGCCACTTTGGATGAGGAAGTGGAGGTGCCAGAGACATCGCTAAAGGGAAATGGTTAAACACAAGGGAATAAACTCCTTTACAGGGTTTGTTAACAGGAATGTGGGGAAAGGGACCCCAAAAAGAGAGAAAACAGGGGAGAAGTTGAAAGAGGTTAAGGGGGGCAGGACAAAATGGCAGGAGCCACAGTCTAGGAAAAATTCTCACTGGCAGGGACACCAACATTCCTTACCCGAGGACATTTTTGCAATCATCTTCAGATAGAGAGGGAAGGAAAGAAGGAGGAAGAGAGAGAGAGAAACATCGATGTGAGAGAGACACATCGACTGGCTGCCATCTACACGACTCCAACCAGGGCCACGGACAAACTGCAACCGAGGTACGTGCCCTTAGTGGGAACTGAGTCCGGGTCTCTCTGGACCACAGGCCAATGCTCTAACCGCTGAGCCAAACTGGCCAGGGCGGGACACCAGCATTTTATTATGTGTTTTTTATATATTTATGGCATCAGATGGGTCCTAGATTTATTGGGGCGATTATTCTGTACATTATATCAATGTCTAATCATGTGGTTATACACCTGAAACTAATATAATATTGTACATCACTGTAATTGAAAAATAAAACATCATTTAAAAAATGACACAGTTGTATTATGTGGTAAAATACACAAAAAACAATTGACCATCTTAACCATTTCTAGGTGTGCAGTTCAGTGGCATTAAGTACATTCACATTGCTGTGCAACCATCACCACCATCCCTATTCAAAGCTGTTTTCATCTTCCCACATAGGAAACTTTGTATCCATTAAACACTAACTCTCCATCCCTCCCCCTGCCCCCAACAACCACCTCTCTACTTTCTGTCCCTACACATGGGACTCCTCCAGGCACCTCACAGGAGAATCACACAGTATTTGTCCTTCGGAGTCTGGCTTATTTCACTTGGCATAATCCTTGTTGTAGCCACACTGTTTCCCACAGAGTCTGCGCTATTTATACCCTCACCAACAAGGCGCTGGAGTTTCAGTGTCTCTACATCCTCACCAACATTGGTTATTTTACGTTTTTTTTTGTTGTTGTTGTTTTTTATCCTCACCAAGGACATTTTTACATTTATCTTTAGACAGAGCAGGAGAAAGAGAGTGGGGAAGAGAGAGAGAAACATCGATGTGAGAGAGACACATTGAGTGGTTGCCACCCACCCGATCCCAACTGGGCCTGGGGACAAACTGCAATTGAGGTATATGCCCTTAGTGGGAACTGAACCTGGGACTCTCTGTCCCGTGGGCCGACGCTCTGACCACTGAGCCAAACTGGCCAGGGCATTTTATGGTTTTTTTTTTTTTTTCTTTTTTGAAATTTGTTTTTATTAATTTGAGACAGAGAGAGGAAGGGAGAGGGAAAGAGAAGCATCCATGAGAGAGAACCATCTATCAGCTGCCTCCTGCACGCCCCCTACTGGGGATCAAGCTGCAACCTGGGCTTGTGCCCTGACTGAAATTTGAACCAGAGATTTTTCAGTGCATGGGATGACGCTCTGACCACTGAGCCACACCAGCCAGGGCTGTATGTCTGTCTTTATGGCAGCAACACACTGTTTTGATTACTGTAAGCTTTGGAGTACGTTTTGAACTCAAGAAATGTGAGGTCTCCAACTTTGGTCTTCTTTTTCAAGATTGTTTTGGCTATGCAGAATCCCTTGGGATTCCATATGGATTTTAGGCTGGGGTTTTCTATTGCTGGAAAAGAGGCACTAGGATCTTGATATCACAGGACTTTTCAAGACCAGGATCTATAATATTTTATTCTAAATTATTTGTTTTCCTACTAGGTCTACTCCCCTTTTGCCCTAAGCTATATCCTGTGCAAACAGAAGTCCTAGCTAAGACTCCCAGTCCAGGGTGAGCAAACAGCAGAGGGAAGGGAAGGGATTAGGAAGTGAAGCAGGAGCTCTGGAGGTCAGCAGCACAGGACTCGCCAGGGAGACTGGAAAACAGGCCCTTTTGAACCTTGGAAACAGTGAGGAGGAAGCTGGGGGTCCCACTGCCTGTGAGACAGGAGGAGGAGGAGATTCTATTTAGATCTCAAAGGCCAGGGCCTCCCCAGCTAGCACGAAGGTCACTGAATAGGCACTTTGTCACGGGCAGACCAAGTTGGGGACCAGGCCGAGGGAGAAAGGCCGGGCAGGCTGGGACCACGGCAAGGGATGATGTGGGGCTGCACGTCTGGTGACTGGCTGAGGTCTGGTGAAGGGCACCTCCTCAGCCAGGGGCCCTGCCCTATGCCCCTCTCTGGGTAGATACTGCCACCTTCTGGCTCTTTGTTGACTGACTGTCAGGCCCATCTTTTTTTTTTTTTTTTTTTTATCCTTACCTGAGGACAGAGAGAGAGGCATTGAGTGGCCACCACCCACACGACCCCAACGGGGCTGGGGACAAACTGCGACCGAGATACGTGCCCTTAGTGGGAACTGAACCTAGGACTCTGGTCTGCCGGCCGACGCTCTAACCGCTGAACCAAACCGGCCAGGGCTCTATTTTTTTTGTTGTTGTTTTTTAATCCTCACCTGAGGACATTTTTCCATTTTTTGTTCAGATAGAGCAGGAGGGAGAGAGAGGAAGAGAGAGAGAAACATCGACGTGAAGCGACACATCGAGTGGCTGCCACCCGCACGACCAACCAGGGCCGGGGACAAACTGCAACCGAAGCACATGCCCTTAGCGGGAACCGAACCGAACCCAGGTCTCTCTGTACCTCAGGCCGACGCTCTAACCGCTGAGCCAAACCGGCCAGGGCCCAGGGCTCTAGTTTTATGTTTTTAATTGCTTTTATTATTATTATTATTTTTTTTATCCTCACCCGAGGACATTTTTCCATCTTTTGTTCAGGTAGAGTGGGAGGGAGAGAGAGGAACAGAGAGAGAGAGAAACATCGATGTGAAAGGGACACATCAAGTGGTTGCCACCCGCACAACCAACCAGGGCCGGGGACAAACTGCAACCGAGGTACATGCCCTTAGTGGGAACCGAACCCAGGTCTCTCCGGACCGCAGGCCGATGCTCCAACCGCTGAGCCAAACCGGCCAGGGCTTTAATTGCTTTTTTGAGAGAGAGAGAGGAAGGGAGAGAAAAAAAAACACATCGAATTGTTGTTCCACTTATTTATGAATTCATTGGTTGATTCTTGGAGATCGAACCCACAACCTTGGTGTATGGGAAAGACAGTCTAACCAATGGAGCTACCTGGCCAGGGCCTTGCCCCGTCCCATCTTAAAAAGAGCTTTCTCATCCTGGCCGGTTTGGCTCAGCAGTTAGAGCATTGGCCCATGGACCAGAGAATCCCAGGTTTGGTTCCTGCTAAGGGCATGTGCCTCGGTTGTGGTTCGTCCCCAGCCCCAGTTGGGGTCATGTGGGTGGCAACCAGTCAATGTGTCTCTCTCACATCTATATTTCTCTCTCTCTCTCCCTCCCTCCCTCCCTCCCGCTTTATCTGAAGATAAATGCAAAAAAAAAAAAAGTGCTCAGGTGAGGATAAAAAAAAAAGAGCTTTCTCCTGACCAAGAACTTTCTCCTTTACCTGCTTATAATCTTATCTCCCTGGGGCACCACCCACGTCACCTGCACTAGAGTCGGGCTGGTCCCAACCATTTCAATGTTCTGGTTTCCTCCCACTGGTGGCTTGACCTCTCCAAAGACAGCTTTGTTTGTCTTCCCTTTCAGTTGGCTGGGGAGGGCCTCCATGTGGACAGCCCCATCTCTGGGGTAAAGGCATGCAGGCCACAGCCCGGTTTCCAGTCCTTGTCCATTGTTTCTTTGTTTCATGACTGGCTGGCTTTTTTTTTTTCTAGGAAACCCCTGCACCTCCCGGACTATTGTTCCCGCTTAGGCATGCTGCTTGGTCCCTGTAACTGGGGGGCCCGTTTGTCCAATGTCACAGTCCTTTTCTCCCCTCCCTTCTGCAGGGTGCTACCTTTCTCTCTCTCTCTCTCTCTCTCTCTCTCTCTCTCTCTCTCTCTCTCTCTCTCATTGCCTGCCCCAACCCCGCCCATCCCGAGAATCACTCTGACCTGGCCAAAGGCCCTTGTTAGTTAGATTCTCAGACTCAGTGCTGACACCCAAATCCTCTGCACTGGCTGGCAGACATCACCAGGAGACCAGCACTTCTCTGACGGGTCTTCCTGCACCCAAGGTCCAACCGCAGGAGTGAACTGGGGCTACCGTGTCGACTGGTGTCTTGCCTTAGGCTCCAAAGATTTGTCCTGGCCTTGTGCAGGGAGGCACTGTCCTTGTGCATTTATCAGGGGGTAGCGGGGGACCTGGTAGAGAGGCCAGGCTTCCTGGGTACACATTCCTTCCACTGCTCGTCCTCCATGGGCCCCCTCCCTGGCTTGAAGACCCTCTTAACCACTCCATGTTTTCTCCCCCACCTCTTCACAGGCAGAACTATTCATTAAGCACCCTAGAAATGCTGTCCCTCCTTCCTTGTCCCCCTGTGCCACATGCTTCCTGCTTGGGTTGGAACACCTAAGAGGTTCCTATAAGATCACTGTTACCTGGCCAGTGTGGCTCAGTGGTTGAGCGTCGACCCATGCACCAAGAGGTCGCCGGTTCGATTCCCGGTCAGGGCACATGCTCAGGTTGTGGGCTGATCCCCTGTGGGGGGCATGTAGAAGGCAGCCAATCAATGTTCTCTCCCATCCATGTTTCTATCTCTCTCCTTTTCCCTTCCTCTCTCTCTAAAAGCAATAAAGGAAAAAAAATTTTTTTTAAATCACTGTCTGCTAGAGGCCCAAGGCCCGCACAGCCCGAGGAGGGAACACGGCTGTGGCTGTCCGTGTACCCAGACCGTGGCAGGGCACTCAGAGGGCTCACCTTCCTTCCCACCGCAAACGTGGCCATCAGACAGTCTGGAAATGGGTGTTTTCTTCTGGACCCTTGGGTTCCCGAGGGCACCTGAGGTTGACCCCGGACTTCCGAAGCCGTCCAGACCCAGGAAGCCCAGCAGCACAGGGATGCACAAGTGCTTCTGTTCTCAAAGTGCTCTGGGGGGTGAGCATGAGTCACCGGGCAGGCCTAGCCAAGGGAGCCACTGCAGGAATTGGGAGGAACCACCCTCTGCCCTCTGACTGTCCCGACTGGCAGGCCTAGAAGGACCAGGTCCTGCTGACAGCCCCCTGCCTTCACTTGCCGCCACCTTTTTGGAATGTGTGCAAGCCATTCTGCACACACCGCCCTGATGCTCCTTTCGCAGTTGGCCTCACTGCAAAGCCTTGGATGGTTTCCCACAGATCCTGAAATAATTGCGTCCTTGTCAGGCTTTCAAGGCCCATGTGCACCAGCTCTGCCCGTCCCTCTGAGCTCAGCACCTCTCCCTCTGCCCTGGCTCACCACACTCCCGGTACACTGCTCTCCGGGTTCTGGCATCCAAGCCTGTTCCAGCCTCAGGGCTTTTGCGCTTGCTGCTCCTTCACTCAGAATGCTCTTCCCGCAGACGTCTCCTTGGCCAGCTCCTCATCATTCGGTTTGCAGCTCAGGAGTAAACCGCCCCCGACTACTTCCATTTAGAGTAGCTTCCCCGGTTCTTCCTTTCGTTTTTTTCAATCCTCACCTGAAGATATTTGTTCCTTTTTTTGTTGTTGTTCAGATAGAGTGGAAGGAGAGAGAAGGAGAGAGAGAGAAACATCGATGTGAGAGACACATCGACTGGATGCCTCCTTTACAACCCCAACCAGGGCAGGGACGAAGTGCAACTAAGGTAGGTGTCCTTTTTTTTTTTTTTAATATTTTTTCTTTATTGATTTTTAGAGAGAGAGGAAAGGGAGAGGGAGAGAGAGAGATAAACATCGATGAGAGAGAACATCGACTGGCCGCCTCCTGCATGCCCCCGACTAGGGATCTGGCCCACAATCTGGGCATGTGTCCTGACCAGGAATTGAACCAGTGACCTCTTGGTGCATGGGTCGATGCTTAACCACTGAACCACACTAGCTGGGCGAGGTACATGCCCTTGACCGGTATTCAACCCATGACTCCTTGGTCTGTGGGCCAACACTCTAACCGCTAAGCTAAACCGGCCAGGGCTTTCCCTGTTTGTTTTTTTTTATCCTCATCCGAGGACATTTTTCCATTTTTTACTCAGATAGAGTGGGAAGGAGAGAGAGGAACAGAGAGAAACATCGATGTGAAAGGGACACATCGAGTGGCCGCCACCCACACAACCCAACCAGGGCCGGGGACAAACTGCAGCCAAGGTACATGCCCTTAGCGGGAACCGAACCCGGGTCTCTGTGGACCGCAGGCTGACGCTCTAACCGCTGAGCCAAACCGGCCAGGGCTGTTTTTTATGCTCTGTCCATCCTTGTTCCATTTTATTTTCTTCTCCACACATATCCCTTTCTGAAGCTGCAGGGCCCCTCACTGTCAAGGGCCCCTTCCAAGGCTCAGTACCTAATTTCGTATTCTTGCCTTTAAAAAGGAACCCCCCTCCCCCCGCCTTGCCAAACCAACTGTGTAAGCTTCAGGCCCCACAGAATCTAAATTCATTTGTACCCAGAGCACAGGACCAGGTTGCATTTGGTACGTCCTGTGCCTGCCTCTGGCAGGAAGACACACTCAGCATTCCTCCCACCAGGCTATTTTGACAGGCTCCTGGCCTCTCCATCTCTTCAGGTCTGGGAGCCAAGAGGCAGCCTTGCCCAGAAATCTTGGTAACTGCCCTGCTCACTGTGGCCTGAGTTCAACATGGGGTGGGGGACGTACAGACTCAGAGCTGCTGTTTGTCCTTCTCCCTTCTGTATCCCTGTCTTGACTTTCCCAACTAGACATAAACATCCTCAGTCAACAGCTATAGCACTGTAACTACTCAGCAAGATCGCTGGCCGAGGAGCTCAGTTGGTTGGAGGGTCGTCCCAATACACCAAGGTGGCAGGTTTGATTGCCAGTCAGGGCTTGTACAAGAGGCAACCAATGGATGTTTCTCCCTCACATTGATGTTTCTCTATCTCTTTCTCTCCCTTCTTCTCTCTCTAAAATCAATACAAAGAAAAGCCATATCCTAGGGTGAGGATTAAAAAAAAAAAAAAGAAACCGCCCTGGCCGGTCTGGCTGGGCGGTTAAAGTGTTGGCCCTCAGGCTAAAGAGTCTCGGGTTTGATTCTGGCCAAAGGCATGGACCTCAGTTGTGGTTCGTCTCTAGCCCTGGTCGGGGTCTTTCGGGAGGCAACCAGTAGATCTGTCTCTCTCATATTGATGTCTCTCTCTCTCTCTCTCCCCCTCCATCCCTCCCACTCTATCTGATAGATGAAAAAATGTCCTCAGGTGAGGATTAAAAAAAAAAGGAACCAACCAATGAATTCATGAAAGAGAGATGTTTCTTTCTCTCTTTCTTTCTCATCCTCTCGCTCTACAATCAATCATTTTTTTTTAAACAATGAAACTGCTCAGCGAAGAAACCGAAAAAACAAGGTTTCTGTAGAATCTTTCATCTCTTCCCTTTCCAAGGGTTTTCTGCAAAACCCATCCTTCTGCCTATCACCTGCCTTACCTCTGACCAGCTTGGACGAGTATTCCGCCCCGGGGTTAACTCTCACACTGCCTTGCCCTCAGCAGACCTGGCTCACTGATCACAGAACTCTTGCTAAGGGGCTCCCGGATAACCACCACCCAGAGATCGGAGAGGAAACCTTTCTGCTTCCTCGTGAAACTCGGGTCTAAATTATTGAAGAGCTAAATCAGATTCAAAGGCAAAGGGCCAATGCTTCCAATGAATTCCTACCATTAGGCCGAGTCCAGGGAGGCCAATTCCAAGGCCGGATTTTCTGTTTGACCAAGAAAGGGGAGACCTTAGGAGAGACCATGGCACCTGGTGGTACACCCCGTGACACAGTGGAAAAATCGCTGACCTGGAGCCAGGAGTCCGAGATCAAGGTGCTGGCTGACTTGTGTCTGGTCAGAGCCCTTCTCCAGGCTGCAGACAGCTGAGTCTCCTTGTGACCTGACGGGCTGGGAAGAAATCCAGAGCCGCCTTCATGCAGCTTTTACTGGGGGGCCTTGGTGAGCTGTCCTTCGAAACCGGAGAGTGTCACCCCCTGGTGGCAAAAGCAATAGGAAAGGAGATGATGAATGAGCTTAATGGCTGCAGATACAACCAGATTCCACAAAGAAGTCTAAGGAGATGGCTTCTGGGGCAATGATGTCACCTGAGGGGACTGTCCCACTCACAGGTATTACTTCCTCCTTCAGCTGCTGTCTTGGCAACCTTGTCTTGTTCTCCCAAACTGCACCCTGCTGCTCCTGCTCCGGGCCCCCAACTACTCACCCCCTCACTCTCCGCCTCCTACTTATCAGAGGACATAGAGGCCACCAATTGCCTCAGCTCCCTCCTCCCCGGGATCCCTCGGGGTAGGTTCAGCCACCTCCTGCCACCACCCTTCTCTCTCACTGGTACCTTCGGTCTCACCTTTGCCACACTTTCCTCAGCATATAAATTCACAAAGGACATTCCCAGCTTATAAAAACAAAACAAGACCCAAAACACACAAACCCAATTAAAAACCCACCCTGGCCATGTTGCTCAGTGGGTTGGAGCGTCAGCCGGGACATCAAAAGGCTGCAGGTTCAATTCCTGGTCAGGGCGTGTGTGGGAGGCAACCCATAGACCTTTCTCTCTCCTTCTTCCTTGTTCTAAATGTCGACACAAAGCATACCCTTGGGTGAGGAAAAGAAACAAAACCCCCAATCCCAAATCCCAAAGCTCTCCTTCTGTCTAGCATCTCCCTCTTGAAAGAGAAAGTCTACAGGGCGGACTCCCAGACTTTCGGAAAATGACGGCTATTGGGCCCTGCCTCCCCTGCCACCACCTCCTCCTCATCCGGCAGAGAAATGAAGAAATCGCCCCTGCCAAGGTCACGGACAGCTCAGGACTGCTAAATCCAGGAATACCTTTTGGTGCTCATTTACTTATCCATTTTATGGCTTCCTCACTGTGACATAGCTTTCTCACACTTTCTGTGATGTACTTGTGGGTTTTCTCTTCTTTAGGGGCTCTTAGGTGTTGATGGCCCCCAGGGTCTCATCTAACAATGTCTCCTCCCCTCCTCTTCTCCATCCTCACCGCACCCCCTCTCCTTGAGACATCTTTTCAGACCCATGGCTCCCACTGCTGTCTCTATGCTGAGAACACTTAGTAGCAAGCAACATGTTAAAAGATAGCCCTGGCCGGTTTGGCCCAGCGCTTGGAGTGTCGGCCTGCGGTCCCAAGAGACCCGGGTTCGGTTCCCGCTAAGGGCACGTACCTCGGTTGCAGTTTGTCCCCGGCCCTTGTTGGGTCGTGCGGGTGGCAGCCACTCGATGTGTCCCTTTCACATCGATGTTTCTCTCTCTCTCTTCCTCTCCGCCCCCCCCACCTGAATAAAAAATAGAAAAATGTCCTCCTGGGTCTGAAATGGGGAGACCACGTGAAAAAAGACAGTTGAAAAAGAAAGGAAAATCCCTGGGTCCTTCCTATGCCACCGTGGGCAAGTTAGCACATCGCCCCCAGCTCTGGGTTTCTCATCCACAGAACTGGGATAAGAACAGTACCTACTCTGTCCTGGCCAGGTAGCTCAGTTGGTTAGAGCATCATCCCGATACGCCAAGGTTGCACGTTTGATCCCTGGTCAGGGCACATACACGAATCAACCAATGAATGCATAAGTGGAACGACAAATCTATGTTTCTCTCTCTCTCTCTCTCTCTCTCTCTCTCCTTTCCTCTTTCTCCCTAAAAAGCAATTAAAAAATAAAAAAGGCCCTGGCCGGTTTGGCTCAGCGATTAGAGCGTCGGCCTGCGGTCCCGAGAAACCCAGGTTTAGTTTCCACTAAGGCCACGTACCTCAGTTGCAGTTTGTTCCCGGCCCTGGTTGGTTGTGCAGGTGGCAACTACTCGATGTGTCCCTTTCACGTCGATGTTTCTCTCTCTCTCTCTCTCTCTCTCTCCCCCTCCCACTCTATCTGAACAAAATATCCCCCCCCCCCAAAAAAAGTCCTCGGGTGAGGATAAAAAAATAAAAAAGAATAGTACATACTTTATAGGACTGTTATGACACTGAAGTGGGTGCATTCTAGAGCAAGTACCTTTAGCATGTCATCATCAAAATTACGACTGTCTCTGTTTTCGCAAGGGGAGGGCAGCAGCAGGAAGAAGTGAGGTTACACCGAGAAATGGTCATTTGGACCCCGGTTTTGAAGCAGGTGAGGGCAGTGGACCGGTGGGGTCTATGTGCACGGGGCTCTCCTCACCCGAGAATGCAGATGAGGTGAAGCTGAGCTAAGGAGCAAGCCACTCCTGAGGCTGCTGCTCTCGGCCATCTGGATGCCCTTGCGAGCACCTGACACGGCCCAGCACTGGCTGAGCTGGCTGCTGTCCGTGCACGTCCTGGGCATTCCTGACATAGTCTGTCCTGAAGTGGGGGCAGGTGCTGGTGGATGGGCATGAAAACAGCTTAGAGCCAGGGAGGGGAAAGGTCACCTGTTGGGCTGTGTCCTGGGGGAGGGGACACAGTTACCAGGGGAACAAGCACTGGTCCTTGAGAAGGACACTGGCCCCACCGGTATGGCTCAGTGGGTTGAGCGTAGTCCCATGGACTGAGAGGTCCTGGTTCGGTTCCCGGTCAGGGCACATGTCCAGTTTGTGGGCCCGGTCCCCAGCGGAGGGTGAGCAGGATGCAGCCGATCAATGTTTCTCTTTCACATTGATGTTTCTATCTCTCTCTCTAAAAAAAATCAATAAAAAATATATTTTTTAAAAAAAGGACACTGAACCGGTCCTGAGCACCTGTCCAGTTGCCAGGTCCCGAACCAAACACGAAGGCTGTTTGTCCGCGACAACAGGCTCTAGGAGAAGACTCCTGGGCTCACTTTGTGGCAGCTGGAAATGGCTTGTCCAGGCTCATGGAGTGAACTGTTATATTGTCAGGAATGTTGCAAGCCAGTTGTTAAACACAGCCACTATTAAAAATTAAGTTATATAAGCTTACAGTTAAACAAATTAAATTAAAATACTCAAAACATCACTCCTGGATAAAAGGGGTATAGGGATTAAGCAGAAAACCAAAACGAAACTCAGACAGACCACAGCGTGGTGATCACCCGAGGAAAAGGAGGGTGGTGGAGGCAGAAGAGGGTGAAGGGCAGATAAATGGTGATGGGAGGAGACTTGGCTTTGGGTGGTGAACACAATACAATATACAGATGGTGTGTTACAGAATCATACACCTGAAACATATAATTTTGTTAGCCAATATCACCCCAAATAAATTCAATTAAAAAAGACAACTCGTCATTTCCTATGTAGTTGACTTTATTTTACTAGTGTTCGCTCTTAACTTCCATATTACTGCCCTAAACCTCTCATTCCGAGAAACCAAAACCCATCACTCTTATCATTTAACCTTTCCCTAAGCCTCTCATTCCAGAAAACAAAAACCCATCACTTCAGTCAGGAGGAAGGGAATGATGGAACCACCCTAACCCACCCAAAACTGCAAACGGTTGCTCGACAAGAAAAACAACTTTCAGGAGACCCCAGCCCCGACCAATCAAGAACTGGGGAGACCCTGGGCCTGACCAATCAAAGACAACCACGTCTCCTCGGCTGACCGACCATCCCAACTGTACAAGCCGGTTGCTACTCTCTCTTAGAGGTGGTCCGGCAGGCTGATTCCCAATAAATCTGCATTTCTGGAGACCCTGCACCACCTCGTTCTTACAACTAGCATCTCTCCTCTTGAGGATATTCACATCTATTGTGTTTATACCGTGGAAATACCATAAAATGGAAATACGATGTAACTCTTCAGTGCTGTTATGTTGGTAGTTTGAAGTCGGCCGGCCAAGTATTTACAGCACAGAAATGAGCAAATGCTACAAATCAACACACACACACACAAATACGCCCCCACATCCCCCACGAGTGGTTGATAAAAACATTTACCAGCACCTGACTGGATAAACTGATGTCAAAATTTTGTCTTTAGCCACTTCTTGTGGGTTTTGGCATTCCCCTCCCCCCAAACATGGCCTGAGCCCCACTCCAGTTTTGAAGGGAACAGCCTCACATGAACATCCAAATCTCACTGGTCTACAGCCCACCCAGGGTGCGAATAATGACCACTTAACACTTGTCTTATTCTCCCTCAGCTGAGTTCTCATTGAACCCTCACAGCTGGGTTTTGAAATTTTATTCCACCCATTTCACAGATGTGAAGCAACTCTCCCCCAATGCAACCAGCTCAGACAAGTTTGGAATGTCCCATAACCAGGAGCTCTGCAGATAAAGAATAATCTGATCATCTGATAGGGGAATTCACTTAAGTAGTTCAAAGGCCACCAACCCTGACCTTACTTTCACTTGCCAGAGGGCATTCTTTTTCTTATATACGTGTGTGTGTGTGTGTGTGTGTATATTTTTTTCTTTATTGATTTTAGAGAGAGAGGAAGGGAGAGAGAGAGAAACATCAATGAGAGAGAACATCAATTGGCCGGCTCCCACATGCCCCCCCCCCAGTGGGGATGGGGCCCACAACCTGGGCATGTGCCCTGACTGGTGATGACCTCTTGGTGCATGGGTCATCACTCAACTGCTGAGCCACACCAGCTGGGCATGAGGGCATTACACATCGAGTGGCTGCCACCCACATGACCAACCAGGGCCGGGGACAAACTGCAACCGAGGTACGTGCCCTTAGCGGGAACCGAACCCAGGTCTCTCTGTACCGCAGGCCGACGCTCCAACCGCTGAGCCAAACCGGCCAGGGCCATTTTGATGTACTTTTATTGTCCTTAGTCACATCCAATAAAACTGTGGAGTCCCAAAATGTAACCTATCTGACATCTTTGGGGGACTTTAATGAATAAATAAGGCTGTTCTAGAGTTAATGATCCACTGTTTCAGCTCATGTAGTGCTTCTAAATAAAGCAATCATTAATTTGGAATTGAGACCTAACTATATAACCAACTCAGTTCAAGACCTGGGCATCTCCCACGAAAGCTAAAGCTCAGAGTGTTGAAATACTTGTTGAAAGTTAGGGGGCTTGTACGGGATATTAATCAGGCTTCTCTGATTTCAGAGCCCCTCATCCAAGGAGTGGCATATAATGACTCTTGTATAAGAATATTTAATTGCCCCAGCCAGTGTGACTCAGACGGTTGAATGTCGTCCTATACACCAAAAGGTCACCTGTTTGATTCCCAGTCAGGGCACATGTCCAGGTTTCAGGCTTGATCCCCTCTCTCTCTAAAATCAATTAAAGTATTTTAAAAATAGTCCAGCCAGTATGGCTCAGTGGTTGAGCATTGACCCAGGCACCAAGAGGTCACCGGTTTGATTCCCAGTCAGGGCACATGCTCAGGTTGTGGGCCCGATCCCCAGTGGGCATGCAGGAGGCGGCCAATTGATGTTCTCTCTCATCAATGTTTCTATCTCTCTCTCCCTGTCCTTTCTCTCTCTCTAAAATCAATAAAGAAAAAGTAAATAAATAAAAAGAATATTTAAAAAAATGTACACAGCACAGATGGATGGAATTATAAAGAGAAATACATCCACAGCCACATAGGGAGATCT